TCTTTGTGATATAAATAAATAAGATAATTAAATCATAGATTAATAGGATAGAGAAGGGTTAGTTAGTGAAAAGATTGGAACAAATAGTTGATTATTTAGGGGAGAAAAAATATCTTTAGAGACTCACCTAGTAACATCTACTAAAACTCTGAATATGTTAAGGAGTTAAGTGAGAAATTTAAACCACAAATACGTAGAAGAAAACTTAAGTGGATATTTATTATACTGTTGGCTGGTAGAAGAACCCTTCTAAAGCACTAGACCAAGTTACAGAAGAAAAGAAAAATATTGATAAAATTGGCTGTGTAAACATGCGAAATTATGAGATGTCAAAGAATAGCATAATATGGAAACCATTCCAAATATTGTGGAAAATGTTTCTGGATGAATAACTTGAGAAGTTGAAGTTGAGAGTACCTTGCTTAAAATCTCCACAGTGTCATGTTTAAATACAAGTCCATCAAACTTAAAGCCTAGTTTTTATTTCATTAAGGAATATGAATGGCATAGCTATTAAAATTCTGTTTATGAGGGAAATCTCTGCAAAATTTTATGTGATTGCTCTAGGTGGTAGAATTATGTAAAGACAATATTCTTATTTTCTACATTAAGTATACATTAGTATTATGAATAAAGAAATTCTTGAAAAAGTTCTTGGTGTGAACTACAGAGAAATAACTTGTGAGGACATTTTATTTACTAAGGATGTATGCACAGAAGTAAGACCCTACTGGCTAGATATATCTAGTTATATACAGAGTTATACCTGTTAATAGCTTTAAGAAATTGTGGGTCTTTTGTTTATTTTGTTTAGTAACTAGTTCTAAATTGTGCACAGAGACTTTGTTTCAAAGGCTGTTCTGAATGATTTGCTACAAATGACACGTCTCACTTTTTGCTCCTTTCTCCATACTTCATACAAATGAATAGCAGTGATTTCTGGAAATTCTATTTTACTTTTCTTTTCCATTCACTCAGAAAAGTTGAATAAATATGCTTACCAATCCCTTTGCTTCCAGATAACTAGATTTAGCAAGGAAGTTGAAAGGAAGAATGGTATGGAGATACTTTGAATCTGTAATCTGTCCAATAAAGAAATCCATTTTTGTTTTATTCCTAAACCTAATTGTTTTTTGTTGTGTAGTTAATTTATTAAGTCCACCAAATGCATAGCTTCTACTAAGTGCCAGCCACCACTGTCCACTTTTAGACTTATCAAAGAACAAAACAGACAAAAAAATTGTGCCTTTGTGGTGCTTATTATATTGTAGTAGGGGGAGACAGAAAATAAACAGTGAACATAATTAGCAAACACAAGGTGATTATTGATGGAAAAAGAGCAGATACTACGCTCCATAGGGGCATCAGGAGTTAGCGGTGGAGGCAGGGGACGGGTTGTAATTTTCAATAGGCTGATCAGGTTAGGCTTCATTGAGAAGGTGACAGACATTTGAGGAAATATATGAAGAAGGAAGCCAGGGAATTAGCCATGTGAGGGGAGAGTGTTGTGGCCAGATGGAATAGTGGGTGCAAAGACCCCAAGTTAGGAGCATTACCTGATGTGTTGGAAGAATGGGGATGATTAGAATGGTTGGCATAGATCACATAAAGGTGTCAGATAATGGACACAGGGTAGTGCAGAGTCTTGGTAGGCTGATGTATAATGAACTTGGGGTTTATTGTGAATCAAATGAAGAACATTGTGGTTTTGAACACAGGAGTGATACTGTAGGGTAACTGGTTAGGTTGCTTTTAAAATAAAAAAATTTTAATTTAAAAGTAAAATTCACTTTTTACTAGAGGAGGTGGCATTTAAACTGGCCCTGAAGGGTAAGAAAGAATTTGCCAAGTTAAGAAGATAGAAATTTGCTTTGGCAGGCTTAATTTAAGAATATTTCCCATCACCATACTTGGGAACATAAATGTACTTTTAAACAAAAGTCATATATGTTACTTGATTTAAGGTTAAAACTATAATAATGTCATATAAAGAACTTATTCCTTTGTGACCTCTTATATCTGCTTAACCATGCTCATTTTAAAAATTGATGTTCTAGTTTAATAAAATTTAAGGAGTTCCTATAATCCAAGAGACATTTCTTTTTTACTCAAAAATCCAATTACTGTTAACAATTTCTTGAGAAAGTGAATGATTGCCATTTGCTTTTCTGCCATAAAACTGTAAATTTAATTGAACCATCTTGTGTTTCTTATTATTAACTAAGATTCACTTATGTACTTTTTTATTTAAAAGGCACTACAGTCAGTTTCAGGAAATATGAATAAGGCAGAATTTCTGTCCTTAAGGTACTTAAGATCTGGTAGGAGAGACGAGACATTATGTAAATGGTGTAGTAAAAGAAAATGTGAGTTCATTGAAGGGGAATCCTACCACATCTTCTCTGCCTAATTGACCTGGTCAGACCTTCAAAGCCAGTCTCCTCCGTTGAACTTCAACTACTGAAGCATACCTGTATTTTTCTCTTTAACCCCCTGTGTCAGGTTTGAACTGCCAGCTTGTTAGCTGGGAGCTCTGCACACTGGGTCCCTGCCTGGCATGCCTTTTAGTGCTGTTGTACACGCTTGTAAACTGGTTGACAGCAAGGACTCTCTCTGGTACCCTTTGCCTTAGGATGCTGACATGGTATCACTAAAAATACTCAGTAGTTAATTGGCAGTCAAGCATAACATAGGGTGGTGTGGAATACAGTGTTTGACTTCATGTTGTTTCTAAAAAGTTTTTCTTGAAGTGTTGACTGTAGGTAGCTTTTTGAAAGGGATGTTCTTTTTCTCAGTTGAGTCTCAAAGCGAAAATAAAGTTTATCCCAGTTTAGGTAGAGATTCAGTAAAAACTCTGTGTTTAAGAGAGTAATAACATTTTCTCTTAAGGGAATTAGTTTTTGCTTTATCAACTCTGAAGTATAGTCTTCATTAAAAATCCATCTTAAAAAATTCTGACCTATATAAAAATGCCTTATCATCATTAAAATAATAGTTTTGGTATTGTAGTTACCTCCAAAGATCATATTTTTGTACCTGAACAGCGATAGAGATTTTAAGAAAATTTGACATTTTGAGAATTTTGTAAATTTGGGGTGGAGAGAATTAAACTGTATTGGTAACACAGTACGGTCAACATCTGTGCTATATGTCATCGCTTATTTTTCTATAAAACAGACAATAAGTGAGATGTCATTGATCCTTAGTGTTTGGATAAGATCATTTGAGTTCTCATTTGGCAGGACAGTTGTTGCCTGTGGTTTTGTGTGCTCTTGACTCCAAATCTGTTGGAGCTAAAGTGCAGGTGGTTGTCTTTCACCAGACCATTTCTATGCATAAGGCAAAATATATCAGGGTTTATTAGAAACTTACCAAATCACTGTTACTGTAGAACTAGTTTCAGCCTGAATATACTAGTTAACAACTTTCAACAGTTTGTCTTAGATAGCACAGATGTTGAAGTAGATTGTATCCTAGAACTTGTCCTCTAACAGCAGGAGATCCACTCTTACCAATCTAAAATAACTGATGTAGGAAAAGATCATGTAAGCACAATGGAATTATTCCTTAAATTATATTTTATTGCTTTAGAACCTGCAAAGTATTCTACCTCATTGCCAGTCTCCAATATTTTCTTTTTTGCTTGTCAGTGTAGTGTAAGCCAAACATTTATTGTTTGTGAATGAGAGAATAAGCACTGAGATCCTTTATTATACACCTGATTTATATTTCATAAACTTTAGGGCATAATTGTAGGCTCTAAACTGGAGTTAAATATTGATAATATCAATACTTTGTACATACTTAATTTGGGGGCGGGGGGACTAAATTTAAATGTGAGAAACTGCAGTGCTTATATCCAAAGCAGATGGCAGTCACAGTCAGGGGAAAAAAAAAGCCTTGTATTAAAAGATAATCTAAGGTGAACATGTGCCTGCAGACCAGTCAGCATGTATTTATTGAGCACATTCTTTGTTTATAATTCTAATGCTAATCATAATTATTGGTATAGAAAACAAAGAACAGTAGTAAGTTAGATGGAAAGGAACCTCTTCAGCCAAATTCAGCATATCAGGCTTTGGAGCAGGAGGTAAATTTTGTTCATATCTTGAAAGATGGTTAAAATGGGGGAGGTGAAAAAAGAGGGCCTATAGGTTTTAGAAAAGGAATCATTGTACAGGTCTTTGGCAGGATTCTCAGTTTATTATTTTTTTAAATTTATTTATTTTTGGCTGTGCCAGGTCTTTATTACTACCCCTGGGCTTTCTCCAGTTGCAGAGAGCAGGGGTTACTCTGTTGCGGCGTGTGGGCTTTTCATTGCTGTGGCTTCTCTGGCTGGGGAGCACGGGCTCTAGGCACTGGCTTCAGTAGTTCAGGCATAAAGGCTTAGTTGTCCTGCCGCATGTGGAATCATCCCAGGCCAGGGATCAAATCTATGTCCCCTGCATTGGCAGGCGGATTCTTAACCACTGGACAACCAGGGAACCCCTTAATTATTATTATTATTATTATTATTTTTAATAATGCAACAAGTTATTCCTCTGCCTTCATTTGTTGCAAAGTTTTTAGAAGTGTCATTTAGAGTGTTTAAGAATTGCTGTTTGTTGAAAAGTAAAAAGCATCAGATCCAGTTTTAACTGCTTTTATGAGAAAATCTGTCTCATAGGAGACTTCTGAAGTCTGACAGAGTAGTCAGTCTATACTGACAGAGTAGAGAGTAAAGAAGCCTGAGTTTTAATCCTAGCATCATGCCTTACTTTGTGACTTTCGGCAGGTTATTTAACTAGATTTTCTTGTTTGTAAGGTGAAGATAATAGTGCTTTTAACTTATTTCAAGTAAAATAATGGGCTATTTTGAAGACTTTTAACTAGGAGTCATATGCTTAGAAAGCATCTTTATTTCTACCAATGTATGAGAAATTGAAATACGTGAATTCTTTAAAAAGGATAATTAAAATTAATTTCTCAACTATACTTATTTCCCCCCCTTTTCTTGGTAGCGGATACTTTGTTTTCAAGGAAGCTGAATGGAAAATACAGACTTGAGCGACTGGTTCCAACTGCAGTGTATCAGCACATGAAAATGCATAAAAGAATCCTTGGACACCTGTCGTCTGTGTACTGTGTAACTTTTGATCGAACTGGCAGACGGATATTTACTGTAAGTAGTTTTTAAAGTATTATGTTAATTCATATATGAGATTACAGAAATGTTGCTTATAATTGAACTTTGAAATAAAACCATTGTTTTTTCTTTTAATTTGAAAAACTTTATTGTAACAAAAGGGTTGCTTAACATTGGACTTCAGATTTGGAATGTTTTTGAAAGACATGTTGTAACACAGTTACAGCTACGTTATTGTCCTCATGGATAAGTATAATTCCCAGCATTATATCAGATAATGCAGTTGACATTTTGTAAAATGTCATACAATGGTTTTAATTCTAAATCTAAGGGCATTTTATCCAAAGTATATTAAGCACATTAGAGTCTGAGAAATGGCCCTTAAAGTGGTGATAGGGAAAAGTCTGAGCATATGTAAGGTTATTACCTTTTATCTTTAGGACCTCTTCCTTCAGTATATCTGGCGTTCAGAGAATCTCTTTGGGTTTGTTTGTTACTGTTTTCTTTTAACTTGTTGAATGGAGACAAGCAGAGCTTTTCAGCTTTTAAGTGAGAAAATTGCTTTTGGAAGTATTTCAATTTCTTTTTAGGTGCCTTAACTATTATATCCACTAAGGGTAATACTTACTGCACTACAGTGATTGTACTTATAATTAAATGTTACTTACGTTAAATACTGGGCTGAAGGTATGCACTTATTCACGGGGTTCCTATGGGAAGTTGAAGTTAACATGGAAATTCCCATCTCTGTCTTTGAAGAGAGCAGTTGCGAATTTTATACAGTCACAACAATTATAGATTCCTCTTTTAAGTGGATATGCTTGTAAACTGAGATTTATTTATATCTACTTTCTCTCCTTTACCCATACACTCAGTCATCTGTAAAACAGCTAAATGGCAGGATGTGGGAAAGGATTTCCATACTTATCTTTTTTCTGGTTCTAGAGTCCTCTTCAGGCATTTGCAGATCATTTCGTATATATTAGTATTCTCCATTTCACTTCCTCTTTTATGTCTGCTATTCTTTATGAAGCAGAATAAAAGTGAAATTTTCAAAATTTTCTGACAGGTTATTACCTTTAGAGTGAGGAACAGTTATTCCTATATTTGCTGAAGTCCTTGATATACCTGCAACAGTAACTTGCTCTCAAATGGTAATGGAAAATTATCTTTAGAGTTAACTTCAACATATTATTTAAATTTAGCTCTCAAAAAAACATATAGTAAATTTGGCATTTCTAATGTTAGAAGGATTCTTTCAAAAATAATAATAAATTGAAAGAATGAGAAAGAAGCATTACATTGTTTTTATATTTCATTTTGGCATTAAGTTATGTCATATACTGAGATTATAAAAAATATCTTTAACGTCTTAATTTTTTGATGTCTGTAAAGGAATTTTTGAAAATGAGAGGGATGGTAGGCATTTATTTGTCATACTTCATGAAGCATTGTGTGTGTGTTAATTTGAATTAGACACATAATCTCTCATACTTTTTTGAGGGAAAAATCCAGTGAGTAATACGCTGTTGCTGTCTTACAGTAGTAGATTAGTAGGCATAGAGCTGGGAGAGCACTCTAAACCTGGGTTTAGTGAACTACTACCCCTGAGTCAAATCCAGCCCACTGCCTGGTTTTGTAAATAAAGTTTTATTCAAACACAGATGCGCTCAGTTATTTACATTGTCTGTGATTGCTTTCGTACCACAACATGGAGTTGGGTAGTTATGACAGACTGTATTGCCTACAAAGCCTAAGATAATTGTTATCTGGCCCTGTACAGGAAAAAAAAAAAAACTGCAGCCCTTGTTCTAAAAACTTTAATTCCTAGTTTTAAGAGCATTTGATATTGGGGGAAGAAGAATGGTACGTTAAGAGGAAGCTGTTTTCTGATTGTTTTCCTTTAATTGAAGATACATAAATAAAGGGAAGAAAATTATCACTGTACTATTTTCTGTGGTCTTATCAAGAATCTAAAAATGTTGATGTTTTATTTATGTGATATAATTTTCTAATTGTGCCAAACTTACAGTCTCATTTGTAATTTTTTACTGGTGATTCGCAGTGACAGATTCCAAAATGTTACCTTGTAATAAATGTCAAAATATGAGATCATTGTTATTTAAAATTTTTTTGTATTTTTGTCTTGTTATCACTTCAGGTGGAGTTAGAGAACATATGTGTTCACTATTCACATTCTTTTATTCCCCTGGAAACACACTAGCCACTAACTAATGCTTTGAAATCCAGTCTTAAAAGCAAATAGGATAAGACTTCAGGATAGTAGGTTTTGACTGAACAATGAAAGATGCCTGTGAGGGAGCGGCACACTCTTGTTACTTAGTAGAATAACAATTCAGTAGTGGACAACTCAGTATTTCCTTCTTATGTATTTGGTATCTTAAGACTTTGTACACTTATCATTAACTTCTAGTGTTAGATGTATTTGAAAACTTTTTCCAAGGGACTGATTCCAACAGACTTTTGAGTCCTTTTGGGCAGGCACAACTAGAGGCGGTCTAGTCCTGTGGTTAAGAGCATCATCTTCAGCATCAGGGGACTCTTAGTTCAGCCCACAGCGTTACCATGTTCTAGCAGTGCAGTTTACAAAGACTGCCTCACCTGTTTCATCTGCAATGTTCTCAGCTCTTTAAAAAAGGTAGGGAAGTAGATAATACTAGTAAAGTAGATAATAGTACCAATCCCACAGGATTTTTTGTGGGATTACATGAAATGATGTATGTAATTAGTATAGAACAGGATATATAGGAAGCAGTCAAGTCTCACTTGCTGCTTTTAATTCTATAGATATAAATTGTATCCATTTTATTTTCTTACCTAAAATCTTTTTTTTTAAATGCTATACAAGATTGAAATGGAAATCATTGTGATTGATAAGTGAAATTCTATGTTAGGAAAATTATCCAGTATTTTGTACTAGAATATTTTAACAAATGGACGTTTCCCAGTAGAATAATGAGAAGAGCCCAGGGAGGGAGACAGTGTAATCACCAAGTCTGACTGTTCCCTAATTCTGTCTCTTTCTTAGTTTTCTAAATCTGTTTACTTGGTTTCAGAATCATTGTGTCAAATAATATTTACTAAAGAAAAGCAGAATTAATTAATTCTCTCAGGAATAAGCCATTCACTCCTAAATGTATGTTGAGGACCACGTAAAAAGATTTTGTTTTTCTAAAACATAAAGTATATCTCTTCAAATTAAGGCAAAAGAGCATAAACTGTTTCCCTAAACTCAATAATTTGTAATAAATACTATGAGGTTATTCACTCCTTTAATGAACTTTTGTCTTTTAGGAGGTATACACTGTTCTAAACACTTAGGATGTTGAAATGGCAGATGCAGTTATCTGTAAGAGTTCATAGATGATCAACAACACAGTGTTGATGCGATGTGATGAGAAGCTTGATAGAGGCAGCACAAAACGCTGAGGTATCGTAGGAGAGATGTACCTAATTCAGGGTGTGGTAGGAGATGGTTGGGGAACTTCCTTGAGAAGTGACACTTTGAAGTGAGCCAAGTTGGATATTCCACAGTTTAGGGAAAGGCATTTACAATCATTGGAAGATTATAACATGCAATTGTGTATTATAAGCAAGAGTTAGAGATGTTGTTGGAGGACAAAGTCAAGATTCTTTTGTGACATTTGAAGGGGGTTCTTCCCTGAAGGCATGGAACAAAAATGATAGCTTTAGAGGAGTGAGTAGAATTTCTCTTTTTAATGATTTGTTGCACATTTTGCAGAGGATGAATTAAAGCTAAGTCGGTATACAGAGGTATTGGTAAAAAGGTTCTAGGAGTGATCCATGAGAGTCACAGTGGGCGTAGGAATGGAACTAATGGGTTAAAAATAGAACTAGAATTTAAGAGGTTCATTTGCATGTGGGGAGAAATTGAGAGGCAATAATATGAAATGACGGGTGTTTAACTTGTGCAGCTGGTTAGAAAGCCAGGTCATTTACTGTGGTAGGGATTTAAGTGGAGAAGTTTGAAGGTTGGGACATGTTGAATTTGAGATCCACACATAGATTGCCAAGTAGAAATGCTCAACAGGCGGTGGGAGTGCAGGAGAGTGATCTAGGCTAGAAGATTCAAGTTGGGAATCATTGAACGTGGAGGTTGATCATTTTGCCTCATGTATGTAATGTGAGACGTCTGAGTCTTCAACTTTAAAGCAAACTAAATAAGAAGAGAGGAGTCGGTAATTAAAACTGAGAAAGAGCTGCCTAAGAGGCCACAGGAGAAAAAAAGATGTGGTGTCTTAAAAGCCAGAGGATTTGTATTTTACTAAAGATAGAAACCTAAAGTAAAATTAGAACTGAAAGACATCTTTTGGATTTGGTAAGGGCATTAGTGACCTTAAGGAAAAAAAATCTTTATTTAGTTTTAAGGAAAGGAGTGAGATTGCAGTGCACTAAGGAAAGATTTGGAATTGAAAATTTAAAGAGACAATATAGAGTAATCTTTCAAAAAGCTTGACAGTAAAAAAATAGGCTGTTTCCTGAATGTGGTGGCCTACTGCTGGACATACTTACATTGTATTGTATGGTCCTCTGTTGCAGTGAATTTGTATAGGGGTCGGTCTCTATTAAGCTGTGAACTTCTTGACAACAAATCCTTTTTCTTATACCTTTTTAGATCTGCAGTGCCTTACATTGTATCTGGGGTATACAGTATTGTGTTAGCCGCTCAGTCGTGCCGGACTCTTTCCGACCCCATGGACTGCAGCCCATGAGGCTCCTCTGTCCATGAGATTTTTCCAGGCAAGGATGCTGGAGTGGGTTGCCATTTTCTTCTCCAGGGGATCTTCCCAACCCAGGGATCGAACCCAGGTCTCTTGCACTGCAGGCAGATTCTTTACCGACTGAGCTACAAGGGAAATCTGGTGTATACAGTAGGCATATGACAAAAAAGAAAGATGAATGAATGAGCCAGTCAGTTAGAGATACAGAAGTGAATAATGGCCTTTCTTGTAAGAAACTTCTGTTAAGGAAGATACATATATAAAAATGTCTGT